GAGCCTTAGCCCTGAACACATCGATCTTCTCCATGGCTGTCTCTTATACACATCTAGATGTGTATAAGAGACAGGTGAGTGAGTGTGTGTGTGTGCTCTCACTCTCTCCCTCTCTCTCCTCTCCCTCGGCTCACCCTCAGCCTCACGCTCGTTACACTGTCTCTTTCCTGACCGAGGGCCTCTAGTTCTTAATCCAACCTGCACCTCACGTTCACGAATACATAGGAAAACGCTGTCTCTTTCCTGACCGAACGCCTCTACTTCCTAATCCTACCTGCACCTCACGTTCAACGAACCCATTCACCTGCGATGCTTCTCCTTGGACTATATCCCGATTCTCCCCACCTCAGGAAGTTGTCCTTGGAGTCCACAATTTTGCCAACCATCCATTCCTTTCGGAAAGCCCTCTTCTTCGATCTGAACTTAGCTTGTTTGGCCTTGGCTGAACAAGCTGAAGTCCGCGCTACAGCACAAGTCGCAATATCTTCCAGCGGCACACTTCGCAGGAAACCAAAGACAGTGCAGCAGCGCTTCCACATGAGCATGTGTTGAGCACTGTTGACTGCTTTTGTGCTTGACAGTTCGCTTCTGGACTGCAGAGACTGGTTATGGGTCCAGTACCCTGCCTATGTATGTCGCTTCCGGACGTTTGCAGACTTTCGTTGGACTTTGTTGCTGCCTCGACGGACTGAGAGTTGGCCTAACTACTTCTTTGCCTGACTCTTTCCAACCCATAACTGCTACCTACCAGGAACTTCCTACCACTGCCTACTTAAAGCTAACCTGCGCGCGCAGGCATTCATGAAAAATATTGCACAAGTGAATGAGACCGACAATGCAACTGGGAACTGGGACTGGGACCACGTCGGCAGCACTGAAAGAATCCTTTCACAAACCACGTCGACAAAACGCTCTGTGAGTGTGCACACGAAACCTGCGCTGACTGCCTCTCACTGTAGTTGGCTTGTCTCGATCTTAGTTGACTCTCATGTACTATCTCGGAAACATGTGTTTCTAATACTTTCTATGCATGATGGTTTTCCGGTGACTTGAACCACACATAGCTCCATATGCGCACGACGCATCTATGTTACGATCTGCATCCTGCTTTGTGTTCTTCTCTTCTTCCCCCGACCGCGGACAGCTTTCTACCATGTACGGCAATACTAGCAAGGTTTGACTTGTATTGCATAAAGTCAGCACTTACTGCTGCGGCGATAACCCATAGCATCGAGCACGAACGTGAATTGGCAAGGACTGACCATATCAATGAACATACCACATCAGTACACCGTCCTCATCATCTCTCGATTAGGACATAAACTCACCAGTGCCTGCCACATCATTTGAAACTAGCTCAGACAGTGATGTATGGCCTTTGACCATTTCTGAATAGAACTGATCCACGGCACTCCATGCGCGCTCCTTGCTGCGAAGAAATTCAAAGCAGAACCTGGATAACCCAGCATGTCTGAAAGTCAGCAGATGGCTCAACTGTGGAATTAGTAGGAAAGCACTACACCGCACAAAAAGTTACACAAACCCATAACTGCAAGACAGTCACATTTCCTCAACTGTGGCTTTCATTTCAGAAACGATGTGCTCTGTGACAATTTCAAGAGTCACAGCCACCGAGGTGCATCGACATCTCTGGCCCCACACAATGTCAGGATTTGTGGATCATTGTGTAAACACTCACTTGCATGCCACCTTCCCAACTCACCCTTCGAAACGTAGCAAAAATGATCAACCCCCGCACAGAAAATAGAAGGAGCAGCACAGATCCATTGGCGAGGGGAAAAGGTGATGACATCAACCACAATGCAAGAGATGACTCAGCAAACAGGACTGCATGCATCAAGGGATGAGGGCAAACTGACAACAGCATTGCCACCCACATGGTACAACAAGCTAGCAGTATGACCATGTATGGGCACCGACTAACGGACTAGGAGTGGCTTGAGGCAGCAGAGCACAGCACACTGGCAAAATAGACAGATGAGACAGTTCCTCCAGATTGTATGGAAGCCAAGCCTCACTGAACAGGAAATTCAATGCTCTGCTCAGATACCTATCTCAAAAAAAAAAAAAAAAAAAAAAAAAAAAAATTGCCACGATCACAATCTCTGAAAGAAGACTATGTCGGTGAATCCAATGCTTTGCTGAAATCGCACTTCCCAAAACAAAACTGCGCTTTCTCCAGAAATAGCAGACTTCCATTGTCAGTTTCCATGGTGCCCGGTTCTTTGAGGAACGCTCCCGCAGTGCAAAGCATTCTACGCGGACCTGACATGACTGTTTCCTTGTCCCGTAACAGGAGAATGGGTATAATAATACTATAATTATTACTATAATATAATAAATACTATATTTCTTTGATTTTTTGGAAAGGAAAAGTGGGCATTCAGTCTTCCTGCTGCCATTCCTTAATTCTTCGTCTTAGTCTGGCCCCTCTCATTTTCGTTCCCATTTTCCGGGATGTTGCGAAGGACCCCCTTTCAGTTTCCATCCCTTCCATTCGCTCAATTCCGGTCTAGCCTTGTGTAGTGCCTCCTTGCATGCTGAAGGTCCGCGATTATGAATGCGGTTCTGTGAATCTGTTCTGGTATTTCTACCGCCCTTCGTGAATCATCTATGCTTTAAGTTCCTAATAGTTCTTATGGATGCTACTACCGTCTTCACCCGAATAGAACGCCCGGTCATTATAGCCATATCTGGTACAATTTCGAGTCCAGATACAGCTATAATGACCGGTGTTCTATCCGGGTGAAGACGGTAGTATAGAGGCCCTTGCAGCAGCCTGTGAGATATCTTGCATCAGGTAAGGCAGGTCTGCTCCTACTACCTCAGCGTTTATGATCGCCTGCACTAAAGCTTCTTTCATTTCCAGTCTCTTTATTAAGAAATCGTTGATCCTGAAGAAGCGTCTTCGTTTCAGTTGGCCTAGGTTGAAACCAGGTCCAATGTAATCATATTGTGATCTGGTATGCGAGTCTTTCCTATGCTGCCTGCTTGGTGCATACCTCCTTTTCGAGGCCCCTGAAATTAGAAACTGATCTAGCTTTGAATATGCTGACAACTTTCCAGATATGCAAAAACTCATAGAAGATCAATCATGATCGAGCCAAGTTGAAAGCAGAATACCAAAGCTGAATGCACACCGCTTATTAGGAGCAAACACAACACTGAAGTCTCTCGACAAAGAAAGTCTGACTTCTTGCCTCCAATCATCAATACAGCATAAGTTGGCAGCCATACTGTGATATTACCGACCCACGTGACTTCGTACTACCTCACTTGCCGGAAGCTGAATGAAGACTCTGCCCACGCAGGCTTCCTCCGTGTCAACACCAGGTAAGACCCGCCAGTCCCCACTACCTTCCTCTCTTCCCGACCGCTTGCACACTTCGCCACCCTGTTTCCCTGTTAGTGCTGGCCACCTATGGCTGGTGCCAGCCTACATCCAACACAGCTGCTTCTTCCTCCCTTCTAGGGCTTCTCTTCCAGCATGTCATGCATCAGCATTGCCGCGTCCAGCAACCTGTACAAATGTGTTGTGAGCAGCAGCCTTTACGGCGATTGGCTGCACAGTTTTCAAAAGCACATAGGACATCAAAGGACATGATGCAATGATGACGACGTCATGGTAACTTTCCAAACAGTACATGACTGATAGCTGTTTTGTCCATGCATATGTTATGTTGACTATTATTGCACACTAATGACAGTCCACACTGTTCAGGATGCGTGAATCGCAAGATCATTTGTCGGCGCCAACTTAACAGAAAAAAACAAGAGGCAAACTGATACATTGTCTTTCTTTGTGAATGGTATGAAAGGTAGTGATCATAATTACTTTGAGGACCATCGCTTAGCTGCAAGACCATCTGAATACTCGAAGTGATCTCCATCGTCACCTTCACGACTGGCATGCATGCTGGTGCAACTCACGTCAGGAAGCCCGTTTCTGACAACATGACGAGCAGCTTCTGAGGGTGATGCCGACCCAAGGGCGAAGCACTCTCCAAACCTGAATGCTGGGGATTTTTCTAGCCCCGTGCCATCTATTTGCAATCTGCAAGTGCCCGATCTAGTGCTGTCTTCAATGTCATGGCCGCTGCTTTCTACATTCTTTCCCGCTGCTTCGGAATGAACATCTGCTCTTTCAATACTCATTGGGCTCTGGTCCTCTTGAACTGTCTGAAAACGAGCAGCTGCAGACCGATCATCACCTGCAGCACAGCGGCCAAGTCTTGACGTACCGAACATGGTGCAAGCCGCTGCATGCCAGGCTGCTATCTTCACCCCTCTGCCTGAATTGCTGGTTGAGTATAGATTACTTGGGCGTCGAGGATGAGGAACGGTTTGCCCGGGGGTGGAGCAAAACCTGTCATGAGTTCCAAAGGCACACACCAAACAGAACATAGCGCATAACCATACAAAGGTTACAGAGTCACACCCTATCCTGATTACTGCTGACATGCACTTAGCAGAAAACATGCTTGACAGTAAAAAGATACCTACCTCATATTTTTTCCCACTCTCGTTCAGAAGCGAACTACCGTGATCACAATGTATAGGACATATAGCTCACATTCGACCACAACAGTCTTAACTATCACTCTCCCGCCAAATTTTCCATCCAGTCAATTGGACTATTAAGGAAAAGATTGATCAAGGACCCAGGTGCTGCCCTCACGTGACAAGATATCTACCTGATAGTCTGCCCACCCTCATTCGGCCATAAACTCGCACGATCGCCATCATACGTATAACTCACATTCCACCAAAAGAGGGTAACTACCTTGAACCTTCTCTCGCCAAATCCGCAATCACGTCAACTGGAATGTAGTGAGACTGACCGAACACCCAGGCGCTGCTCTCCTCTCTTTTTTCCCCATGAAACACAGCCTTATGCCGATGGATGCACTCCAGCTAGGGGAGCACTACCCCATCCACCTTCCACCAGTCGTAAGAGCAGGAAGGGTACGATCATCACTATACGTCTAGGGCTGTGTAGCACACTGAACGTGTTCGGGCCTTTCACGAACGCCCAAACACGGTCGAGTGTTCGGCCGAATGCCTCCCAAACATGTTCGGTCAAACTTTTTTTTTTTCCAATTTTTTGGGGTTTTGGATTTTTTTTTTTTTTTTTTTTTTAAACAGGTCCTTATGGTCCTGGCTCCATATCCATTCTGGGGAGCATCAGTCCGGTTCCTTTCCACCGGAAAGTAAAAAAATGAGATATGGGTTTTGGATTTTTAACTCATGTTTGGCTAAGAATTTGATGCTCCCCAGACAAAAGTTGTTTTTATTATGGTTTTACATAACATATATCGTCACAAACAGAACTGCCCGGTAAACCGTAGGCAGAGAGAGAGAAGAGGACAACAAACGAGGGGCTGTGACAAACTGTTTCGTCGGAGTTTCATATATATATAGATATATATACATACAGGTTTGCCAGGCCGAACGTACGGAGGCCCCTAGGCTGACCCCCGAACGTTCGGGCGTTCGGGTCCCTGTACGGGACCCGAACTTGAAGGGGTTCGGACCCCGCAAAAAATTATTTTGGCACCCAAATATTATTATTTTTTTTCTGAATTTTTTTTTGTGAGTTCTTTGTGATGTAAGGTATCCCCCGCTTAATTTTGAAGTCATTCTGTTCAGCCAAAACAAAATGAAAAATCCTCAAAGGTGGTGGTGTCAAAACTTGCTTGCCCACTCACAAATTTGTTTTTTCTCTCTTTTCACTTTTTGTTTTTCCTTTATTTCGGGGCATAAAACAATTTATTATTTTTTCAAACTTTATTCGTAGATTCTCTATTATGTAAGATACACATATATAAATTTTCATGGCATTTGTCACAGCCAAAAAAAAATGAAAAATCGCCAAAGATGGCGGTGTCAAACACGTGCTCGCCCGCTCAATAATTTAATTCTCGTTTTATTTTTTGTAATTTTCATTATTATTATTTATTTTTAGTATTTGATTTTTTATTTCAAATTTGGTAAAAAATTTGCATATAGCGTTGAGGCAAATGTTGTTTAGTTTATTCTTCTGCATAACATATATATTTTTCAGAGTTTTTGGAATTCTTTTTTTTTTTTTTTTTTTNTTTTTTTTTTTTTTGGGGATCCGCGTTCAGCCGAACGGCCGAACGCGTCGAGAGGGGGTGCCGAACGTTCGGGCGTTCGGCCCGTCCCGAACACCAGCAACCCTGTATACATATTTGACAATATATATATATATATATTTTTATTTTTATTTTTTCCAGATTTTTTATCATTTTTTTCTGAGAACTGTGTTTTTTTTTTTTAATTATATATTTTTTATGTTCATGTTCAGAGGGTTTTGGCACTCGTTCACGTTCGGTTGCGAACGTTTGGGTTCAGTCATCGAACGCAAACACGACGCTATGCAGGTCTAGAGAGAATTTGAGGCCTAGAAACAACGCAATAGTCAAATACAATCGAGGTACTAGGACAAAGTCCTGTCCCACCCATGAAATTTCCCAACCCGAGTTGTTGGGTAAGGCACCTACCAAAGAAACCATGGCTTTTTCTCTACTTTCATTTTGTAGTGGTGATTCTTCTGCAGAGAGTTTGTCCATTCTGATTTTGTCCTAAACCAGACAGCCACAACTTTTTCCTAGTGCCTGTTTGTGAAGGCGCTTGTTCAGGGTGTCTCTTCAGTAATAGGCCTGGCAATTTTGTGTCCACACTAGGACTGGAGCCATTTTTCTCCCGTGTGCCCATTCGTGGTGACCCTTGCACACAGAAGACCTTGTTCACATCTAGAGGCTTTGAACCTGGTCCAGACGTAGCTGCTGATGGAGCGACGTGCCTGGGTCCAGGAGCACAGGTCCACACTGACTATACAGATAGTCCCGGGTGCAAGTTTGATTTTTGATCCAGCACCCTGTACTCAGGACCACTTCACTGGCGGAGAACAGATCCAACCTCAGTACATACGAGTGAGGCTGGGCAGGATTGGACATCCGTTGACCCGTTCACACAGTCATTCACTTCCAGAATTGGAGGTCTACTAAGTTGGTGGAACACGCCACTGGCCTAGAGGAGGTAGGCAGAAGAGGATAGATTGAGCGCTTGAGGTGTAGGGCGATCGGACCTGCTCATGTCATAGCAGATGTAACAGGACTGGTGAAGAGACGTCATGCACGGGAAGGCGGGACTCAACTCTCACATACGCAAATCTTGATGCACAGGATCCAAGGATCTGAGAGACAGGGGGGACAAAGAGAGCGACGGCATCGGGCTGGAGTCGGAACATGAAGATTGCAGCAGCAGCACAGAGATTTTTTTTTACAATTTGGACCATTTCTTGATGTTTGTGTGTCATCCTTGACCAGGGGCCATGCTAATCTTCTCTGTATTGTTCCAATTGTAACGGATGTCCCGAAGGACGGCAGCACAGAGATAGCACAGTCAGAATAAGGGGGCAAGTGAGGGTTGCGACTATGAACAGACCAAGCTGAACCGTTGGTGCCAATACTCAAACATTCAAAGAGGAACTGTGGCACCAAAATATTGGCCAAGGGTCAGTTTGACAGGTGGCACCGAGAGTTTGAAAATAAAAGAGGGACTTTGGCTCCAAAATGACCAGGGTTAACTCTGCAATATCAGGGTAACGCCGTATTGGGCCATGGAAAATGTGTTGGCGCCGGCCGAAACAGTCCAGCGGACAGGAGCCGAGACAGCCCGGAGTACTGGATGCACTGGTACCCAACTGGTCCTGCCATGATACGCCACCCCGCTTAACAAAGGCGACGCCCCGGCTGCCAAATGTCTGTGATTGAGAGAGGCTCAACAGCATCTGAAACAATGCAGAATATGGTAAATGTCTAACAACAAAAAACTGAAGACAATTCCATTGCTCAAAGAAAGCGACTGACAGCAATTCCTTTTTTTTTTG